ACAGAGGATGGCTACTCAAAATAAATAATAATATCACTGTGAGCATAGCCATAGATTCTCTCAGCGGGGGCTTCTGGGCAACCTCGGTGCCCCAAGACACAACGACAGCAGACAATCAGAGGGAGTCGGTGGAGAACGGTGTGAATGGTGGGAATTGAACCCACAACCTTCATGACCTAAATGGCCAAAGCTCTACCAACTGGCTACTGTACAACCATACCATCTCTGTATAGCTATTTGTTAACTTATTATAGTGCTACATGTCTATACACTGTGATGCACACAGAAATTTCCCCACTGTGGGACGAATAAAGGATCTCTAAAAAATGTTCCTGGACTTTCACCACTGTCCTTTAGACCCTCATACACTGTCAAGGAACATAAAGTCAACATAATGTGTTTTACCACAATCGGCCTGTTTCATGTGGCTAATAGGGCTTTAGTTCCAGTTCTGTACATGAGATTGGGATGGACCTTCCCAACATGGATTACTTGGGGGGGGGGGGGGGGGCGGGGGGGGGGGGGGGGGGGGGGGGGGGGTTCTTTTCTTTATTTGGGGTGGTTCTGGAATCATGGACAGCATATACTTTACAGTTTAATGAAAAGTACTCACTTTGGCTCATTTTCACCAACATTGAAAAGTAAACGTCCGCTCCTTCTCAGTAACATGTGTATCACAATTATCATTTTGGCCTTAAAAATCATAGTTCCACTGCTCAATTGGCTCACTTGGCTGTTAAGTAGGTGCTGAAAATATTTGATGTTTAGCTGAAATAAATAATTTGAATTCAGAATAGAAGTTGAAACAGTCCCAAATAATTAAAGATACTGAGATGCAAACAAGATGTGAAAAACTAAAACACATAAAATGAATTTAATTTGTTCTAAAATGAGGCCCTCATTCCTCATCTCCTACCTGCACATTCAATCCCCCCTTCTTTTAGGCCCACAATTTTCTTACACAACTCTTTGCATGCGTTCTGGGAGGTATGTGCGTTTCGTGGCATATCAAAGCCGCGCCTAAATTGTAATCCAACGTATGCAAAGGTTTAATTGGAGCTGTAGACCCCGTTTATCGTTTGGTGAAGTTTCAGCTGGGTGCCAAAAGTGCGAGGAAGGTTGCTGATTGCTTGCTGCAAATGTTAATTGTACAGTGGATAATAAACCTGGATGATACATATGATGAGGAGACCGTCATGACATCTGCACAGGGACCTGACTTCAGTACTGCCGACAGGAATCGAATATAGAAAAAGTTGCTGTCGCCAGAGACATAGTGGTTCATTAACAGTCGCGTGGGTGGTGGAAATAGTCATTCATAATTATTGTATTTAAATGTCTCTATTGAGAGATCAATTACGTTTACTTTACTTATTAGTAGGAGTGAGAGTAGTAGTAGTAGTAGTAGTACGTAGTATGTAGAATTAGTAGATGATAAGCAGTAAATAAGTGCCAAGTTGTAGCACTAATAGATGTAATAGTCTCAGTAGCCGCAGCAGCAGTAGCCACAGCAGCAGTACACCGTAGTTGATTGAGAAGAAGCTTTTGTTATATACTGTACCTCTGTGCGAGGAACGAGCAGCACAGCCAAAATTTGTAAAACAATGTAAACAAGTACTTTCTACGGAGTACATGTACTTTATCACTTCTCTACTTTGCGTCACTGACGGACCTGCCGGTCACATCGGCACAATTCTCAAACGTCTGTCTGCTGCAGTCATCTTAGACTCCACTCCGTTTGGTTATTTTTGGGGCTTTCGAATTTGGAAGTTTTTGTCTCTGTCCTACTTTCACACCATTCCCTCAAGTGAACCAGAGGCTTATTTTTCGGTTCTGATCCAGAATTTGTCTCTTCTGCTGGCTCTTACAGTTTCTCCTTTCTTTGTGGATCTGCCTTGAGACTCCTTCGTTTATTCCTCCTCTTCTGCATCTCTCGGCTCCTGTCAATTTTCTATCCATTCTCTTGCACTTTCATTTTAGGCACCGTGGCCTCGTTTTGCGTCAACAAGACCAGGCTCATATCTCATCAACCCAAAATAGTGGATGCAAACTTTAAGGCCACACCATCCATCCATTCCATTCATTCCTTTCCCCCTTAATCCAATGAGCGCCCTCTGTGTCATTTTATTTGGAACCCTCCTGCCCTTGCGTCCACTCATATTAGCCCATTATGAGGTCCATAAGCATTCACAATGTCATTCACAGTGTCATCCAGACCACAACTTCAGTTCTGACAACCATCCGCATACTTAATAAGGCTCAGAAAACCTCTGGAATCCCCATTCCCTTGACATTGTTAGGACTGTACTTAAAATAAAAACCCAATTTTATTTTCTAATATGTCTACAACATTATGTATATAGTGAGTAAACCTTTGTCATCCCAGCCAACTTCAGCTCCAGAACAAAAACTCCATCACATTGTGTTGTCAGTTCCCAGTCAATGTTCTTGAATTAAAGTGGCCCTCTTACAACAAAGATTGCTAGTGTACTTTTCTGCATATTGAATAACAAGTGTTTCCCTCTAAGTTTGAGAATTTCTGCAGTCAAAGTACTTCCTTTAGTCCACGCCACGTTAGATGAAGATGTTTTGTATTTGTTATACTGTGTTTTTTGTATTTGAAACGCTTTTAAAAAGAAACGTTTTGCAAAGGGGCAATTTGAGACCTGACCTAAAGATAGTAAGTCTTACTAAGTCTGCAGATTTATATTGAACAACGGCTATATTTCAGCAAAATTCAGTCACTGCCAAAGCTGATACGAGTCTGGAGCCAAAATCATCAATTCTCAAAGTCAAACAGGAACAAGTCCATCCTCTGTCCGGCGCTGAGATGACAAGGTTTACAAACGCCGGCTGTAATTCTCCATGCTTGCATTGTTAGTGGATTTAAAGCTGCGGTACTTCAGTTTTATAGCCCTGTAAACAGTACATGTTTGTCTCAACAGAAGAGACAGGCTAAAGTTAAATCTTCTAACCAAACAAAAGTAAATGCTGTCTTCATCTTATTAAAAAAACATGTGCCCTGTGAGTCACTATTTTTGATGCGTGGGACTGACCTGAGTCACTTTTCTGTCGGAGAAAGCTGATCTGAAGATGTGACATGCATGTGAAAAGTAGTGATAGAAATTGATCTGAGAGCAAACTTTTTTATATAAACATTTAGGTACCCCATGTTTAACAAGAAGTATTTTCAACTATTTGGGTCAAAACATATGCATGAAGGAGCAAGTGCAGTGATGATCCGGACATTTATAGAGATTAGTTATCCCACTCTCTCTGGACCAATGGCTCCTATGTGTAAATTATTACAGCATTTCCTGTGTGTTCAAACTACTTCATTCTCAAATCTGTTGTTGAGGAATCGACAACTTTGTAAATTCCTCTGCGGCGACTGTTAATGAGATTTAGAAAAAATATTACATTTAATTTGTCATATGTTTGGTTCTTAGTTGCCTTACCCCTGCATATGCCTATTTAGTAACCTTTTTTTTGCTTCAGGAATTTCTTAGGGCACTGCGAGAGTAAACTTTTGAATGGATGGATATGTATTTTTATATCCATTATGATTATAACAAAGTGGGAATCACATTGAACACATTTTGTGCAATTGACAACAACTTATTGGTCCTAGAGTAGTCCACATGTAATTGTAATTCTATTGGAAAGAAGTATTCAAATAAGATAGATTATAATGTTTTTTTCACTGACTTCAAAATCTCTTGCTTTTTCATCAAATTTACAGCAGTTTGTAAAATTGACATCTGATTAACATTTCTGTACAGCACAAACAAAAGCACTGGATAGCAGACAGGCTAAGGTATGTATACAAAAGACCAGATAAATGTGGAGTTTGATCAAAGCCTTGTATAATATCATTGTCACTACTCTTTTATTCTTCCATTTGCACCTTAAGGCCATGGTAGTCCAAAAAGGTTAGCTTTAAATATCCCTTTGTATGGTTTAATTCCAGCCATTCAAACAGAAAGATTGAAATGGTGATTGTTCAAAGTATAATTCTGCAGTAATGGAGGCGATACAAAGACTTCAGTGAGACCAGTGAGACAGACCGCTGGTCCAAGTCAAAGCGGGAGAACATGTACCCATTTCCATGACAACATCAGAACTAACTACTTGAGTCAGCCAATCAAAAAATGTTATGTAAGGAGTGTGAAATAACAAAAATGTCGGTGGCACCTCGAATATATTTTTCTGGGTCTAAATCAGAGTGAAACCTGATTGTTTAGAAATATTACGCAAACAGTGTCTTTTTGGAGTTTTTAACCATGCTACAGCCTTGTTCAAAAACACACCTGAAGATGTTTTTAGCTCCATTCATTTTAATATTAGGAGCTTCTGGCACAAACACATCCCTCTGTCTACATGCTACGATGAATCTTTCTGAAAATATACTCAAAAAACTTGTTCATTGTTCAGTTTTTGAGTACAAGTAATCTATGTTTTATAATGATAAAAGAAACACTTAAAGGTGATGTCTGCAACTTCAATTGCTTGTCACTTTTGTATATAAAACAGTTCATCCCCTTGCAATAAGTCACACCAGTAAGATTTGCTAGAGAAAATTAGTTAAACCAATGTGGAGGAGCCTCAGTTGTCTAACAAGAATTTTAATAAATTGTGTCCAATCATCAGGCTGTGGGGGAGTGTCTAAGTGGTGCCTGCAGTCAAACAACTTCTCACTATCCTCACAATTTGAAAAGTAAGTGACATTCCCCTTAGAACTAATTTAAAGCTGGGATATCCGACTTTGAGAGTAGTTTTTTTTTCTGCGTCAACAATTAGTATTTTGTGAACAATCCCACAACATGCTTTATTTTAATTTTTTACTCATCATTGACTGATTGGATGATGGAAGGGGTTGTCCTCTCTTTTCCTGTCTGAGAAAACTGATCTATAGATGTGATAGATGCCAAAAAAGCAAACTGTTTTGGGAACTATGGGTTGGATGACATGATATTTGTTTCGATATCCCTCTACACTAGCTAAGGACCCGCCCTCTCCCTCTGCTGACGATCAAAGCGCAGCGACTTCTCCAGCTCCCATGTGCTATGTTGTGCCTCTCCTCTTGGTGCGTGTCTTCTTGTGATCTGTTCCAGCGCGGCGCTCAGCAGGAGGCCTCGCTCTTCACTGGCTTCACACATCCCCCCGCTCGGCGAATGAAAAGACCCCGACATCTGCACTGTATTCCCCCACCAACACGTCACCGCGATGTTCAAGAAGCGGCAAACTGTCTCAATTATGAGCCAACAACAAGAGGAAGACGGAAGAACGTGGAGATCAACAGAACAGCAATGCAGAGTCCCATCAGAAAAGTGGATATTCATATTTAGCGTGGTTCACACGGCAGGATAATTAGGCCGATTTTGGACCCGATTTACCCCTACGACAATCGTAACAACGCTCCGAATATCGTCTGATGGATTTTCCTGCCGTGTGTGGTGTGTTAAGACTGTGCTCGTTGCTCGGAAGGACTTCGGGACTGCTCCGATCTCAATATCGGGGATATCCAACATGTTGGATTGTTTTGGCCCGATTTCTCTTCGTGTGTGGTGTCCCCCGAGGACAGACGAGCGTGTTGCCATGACTGCGGCGTGTAGCCAATCAGAAGACGAGACGAGCCGGCGAGGAAACACCGTAAAAAAACCAAAACAGTCAGCGGCACGGCGCACCAGAAAGTTCGGTGGACATCAGAGATGGAGGAACAACTAGTTGACCTAAGGCAACACCGTGAATGTGTGTATGACGTGTCGTGTAAAGAATATCATCACCGAAATGACAAGGAGAGGAATTGGGCAGAAATTGCTGCTGCACAGGTAGTGTTGGCATAACCCCTATTCGGACGGGATTAGTACACTAAATGATCAGACTGATGGGTTGTGTTTGTACGTTTACTTTGCCCTCTATCCTAATACAGCACAGACGTGTTGATGCAGCCGTTACTGCAGCCGGGCTTGTTGGTTTGCGCGTATGTAAAGTTTCATGTCTAGCAGTGTGTGTGATGCGTTCACAGATAGTCCATACAAACTGTATTGTTGAACAGCACAGACAGTACGGGCCAGAGAACTGTAGAGCAGTAAAATCCACATGTATGTGTTTGTCCTCATGGTGTCTGTGGCTGCTGGGGTCAGACGAGAGTCTCTATAGGCTGCGTGAAGCAGAGAGGCCCGCACACTCTGTTTACTCTGAAGTCACGCTTGATCTCGAGAGATGTTGTGAGATTTCCGGTGATCTGTGAATGCTCGGGGGTGAAATCGGTTCGTGTGTGATGTGTGTGGTTTGCGTGATTTTGCCGTGTGGCTGCGCACCACACACTGTACGACCAAAGAGATTTTTTATCTCCGTGTGTGGGGTCTCACAGAGAGAAAAAAATCGGCCGACAATTTTAAAATTGTCTCGTGTGAACCAGGCTTTAGTTGAATAGGTAAAAGGCCTTCAGTCCTTGCAAGTTTAGCTTTCTAAAGTAGAAATTACATACAAACTAGGAAAGGCAAGTTTATTTGACATGCAAGGCAAGTTAAAGTGCTTAACAAAACAGTGGGCTGGGCGATAAGACGATAACGATATATATCGCGATAGACACGTGTTCAACATCAATAGAAAATGGGGTTGTAAAGCAGAGTCAGAAGTTTGTGATATTCTGGGGGACGTCGGGAACAGTAAGACATTCTGGGAAATGCAAAAATACAAGAAGTTTTCATTCCCCTGTGACTAAATGTGTGCTGCTAACGTGTGCTAGCCGACACGACAAATTTATTTAATACGATTTAACAAAAACAATCTATAATTATCTATCGACTGATTGTGATATCATTTTCAGCCATATCGTCCAGCCCTAACTAAAATCATAAATGATCCCAGTATTTTACATAGTTATGTTATAGTCGACTGTCATATACTCAAAGTAGCATTCAGAGCGATTCCAGCATTTTTGTGTAGCTCCCAAACCGGTCATACCAAACCTGGTTTCAGTCTGCATACCCCCCCGCACACACACACACACTCACACACACACTTTAACTTTGTGCCGAAGATTCAAGATTTAACTCTATATATGTCAACTTGACATCCAGGCGCGGAGGGAAAATCAATGGTGATAAGTCCTAACCTTTTGTCAGATTCAGACGGAGTTTCCACAGACATGTGAAGGACTCAGAGGAGGGGGTTTCAAGAAGAGAGAAATGCAGTTAAATCTTTAATAAAACTCTGTTATGCTGTATCACAACCAGTGGCGGCTGGTGGAATTTTCTACTGGGGGGGCTATGAATATGATGACTAGATATATACCAGCAGTAAGTAAGTTTACACTGACTGTTGTGACTGAAGCCTCACACGAGAATGAAATATTTATCTTCCCGAACATAGCTAATTTGAGGGCATTTTGCATGTGGATACCAGTCTGCTCATGCTTCTTTGCCTTTTCTAAAAAGTGCTTCAGATCAGTCATACCTGTCTTGATCCATGCTGGGTCAGATCCTGATGTTTGAAACAAGAGGCATGGAAAGCAAAATAAAGCATTAGCCTCGCTACATGCTGCTAGCCAAGATTTGGCGCTGAACCAGGTCCTGGAAAAAGTACGAGTGTACCGTCTCCCCCTGTCGCTGGACTGCTGACTAATGGTAATATTTGGCTGATCAGGTCCAAGCTCTTTAACCTCAACCTTCTCCTGGTATGATCTTCTCTCAAACGGTATTGTTTTGAGTGATCTAACTGAATTTTTTCTCGTTCTCCATTTTGCGTCTCTTTACGTTCGTCTCAAACTCCCACAGCTTGACCTGTCAATCACTGTAAACGGACGTCACAGACAGTGACAGTACAGGTCGCGGGCGATCCCGCCCCCTCAGGGCGCACTTCTCCTGCGCCCCCAAATCGTCTTATCTCTTGCATTGAAGAGGAGCTACTGCGCATGTACAACTTTTAACGAGAGTCCATAGACAGCTCAGGGCGCAATCTTTTGCGCCCTGAGGCGGAAATACGTCCTCAGTCCGACACAGACAACGCTGATGAGCTTAATCAATCCAACTCAGCATAAACTATAAAGTATTTCTTCCACATCTGAAATAAAACACACATACATTTCGAAATATTTTAATGTTATTATTTGTTTTAACGTTTTATTCAAGGTAACATGGCAAGTTGTGAGTGGTGGGGCGGCGCCCTAGCGCCCTCTATTGGCCGGCCGCCACTGATCACAACAAAAACTAGACTTTTATACAGTTATATTTTTTGCTTGTTCCTCCCTGTGTTTGGGTCGGCTTCCTCTGGGCACTATGGTTTACCTCACCACCCAAATTCACCCAAGTTTTATATCTGCAAAAGGGCAAAGCAAATTACAATGTTGGCCTTTTCCTAATGTTGCAGTTGCAAGTAATTCAATGATAAATGCAAGATTAACAAACAAAGCCATTGGTCCATAGGGAGTTGGATGACCACAGTTCATAATTGTCCTTAAATCTCCCAGATCATCACTGTCTTAGACCCTCTTGCATCTGCAAGGAACAACTCAAAAACCCAGTGAGAGAAAGCAAGAACATTTTGAGGCCTGAGGCTGTGTGGTGCCATTACCAAATGGATGTTGAAAATGCTCAGACTCGACCTAGAAAGGATTAATGAGATACAATATTATGGGTGTCCTATTAGTAAACATATCTAGTTTTTGATTGCTTCCTGCTCTGCTACAGTGGTTTAAAGATAAGGTTGATATATTTTCACCTTTTCAGAGACACAATTTGTAATATGAATTACATGGCGAGGGTCCTAATTTCTCCAAAACTTTTCTTTTCCTGACCTGAAATTCCCCACAGTCTCTACACTCGCAGTTGTACACCCAGTTATTCTAATTGTGTCTGTTGTGTTTGTGGGTCAGGCAACAGTTCATTTAAATCCACTTTGTTATTACTGAGCACAGCAGAAACTCAGCTGATTAGAATGGAGAGGCTCCCACTGAGATAATGCCATTATGAGGTACATTTCAGAGGTCGTATAGCTCAAGTAAGAAGAAAAGGAATATATGGAATCTAAGTTTTTTTTAGGCAGTTGGATTCTGGTATAATAATAATTATAATAACAATAATAAGAACACTAATAATAATAATAATACAAAAACAATATTAATGCATCAGTTTTCTATAGTGCTTTTTAGGACACTCAAAGACAGATTCAGATTCAGATAACCTTATCGATACCGAATGGCAATTTATTTGCAGCATATTCTCAAAGTAGAACACATAGACTACACAAACACAGAGTGAGTCAGGCCTCACAGTTCACGCAGCAAAGCAGTACAAAACAATACACAACAATTCAAACACCTCCAGCACAGTTCAACATTTTTACAGCAGAGGGCACAAAATAGGAAAACTGTTTGTTTTCCGAGCTGGAGCGAAAATGACTTCCTGAAGGCCTCGTTACAAAGTCAGTGATAAGAGGATGTTTGGTCTGAGCCAGTATATACTTTGCTATATTCAGCGCTTGTTCCTCCTAAAAAGAGTGAAGGTCTCTGAATTTTACTCCAGTGATTTTAGGGGAAATTTTCCACAATACTCCTTAACTTCCCAAAGCTAAAGACATAGAAAACACTGTTACTATTCTTTCATTCCATACACAGTGGTGATAAACTACTGCTGTAGCCACAGCTGCCCGGCCTGGGCACACTGACAGAAGCGAGGCAACCAGCATGTGCCATCATCCCCTCCAACCACCATCAGCCATTCGCACACACACCTGACACATTCTAGGCAATGTGGGTGAAGTGTCTTGCCTAAGGACAGAACGAGAGCTTCAAAGGTCTGCAAGCATCTGGCTTTCGCAAGCAAGTACGGCCACAATAGTATAGAGTCCTGGTTGTGCTGTTTCTTTTTTCCCCCATTATAATCCAAAACAAATGCTAGATTATGTGTTGTTGCATAATACAAACTGCCATAAAATATATGGGTCACCACCAGTATACAATTGAACAATAATTAGGATTAACATTTCAACATGATTACAAAATCTATCTACTGACATTTAGTGAAAGCATTAGTTGTAGCAGTAGTAGTAATAGCAAAACCAGTACAAGTGCTAGTAGTAGTATTAGCAGTAGTAACAATAGTACCAATATAAGTAGTAGGAACAGTATAACAGCAGTATAGTTGACAGGTCTCATTTAATTGATTCTAATGAAATATATTTCATATTTTCCATTGTCAAAAATCAATTGCACATACTTTCACATATATTGACTCCTGTATCAAGTCATCATACTGAGAGCTACAGTATTGGCTACTTCATCCCGTTTACTTTAGTTTGCATTATCAGAGCTCCAACTACAACAACAGCCTCAGCC